ATAGAAATTACCCCCTAGAAAAAGGGAGAGAAGAAAAGAAGAAGTAATGCAATAGACACTTATTTTATTTAAGTAAATAGAAGTAAGTAGAAGTAGGTAGAAATATAATTGTTAGATCATAACTTCTTTAAGAAACTTTAAAGAAGTTTCTTAGACACAATTGGATATTTTATTTTTTTTAAATATACCACACCTAATAAAACTTAATCTACAAGTTTTGTATTTTTAAGAAGCCACATTAGAAGCAACTTACAATTTCATGCTTTACTATCATACTTTAGAAGATTGTATGAAATTCTCATAGGATCTTTTTAATAGCTAGTATATATATAGGCAAGAATGAGGTTATCTTTACTATCATCAACATTCTATTTGTATTCTAATATTCATTTAAGACCCTCAATTTCTTTTGTAATAAAAATATTAAAAAATATATAATAAATACTTTATAATATATATTATAATAATAATAAATACTTTATATTAAATGTTATAATAATAATAAATAATTTATAATATTATCAATAAAGAATTATTTGTAATTGTAGACTTGCTTTAGGAATGGTATTATCATTTAAAATATATATCGTACATTATTATATTTTGGATTTAATACAAAATATTAAATTATATCATGAAATTTCTTGTATTAATTTATTATTCATGATAATATTATAAAGTAATAAAAATATTAGTATATATATATATATATATATATATATATATATATATATTATTATTTTATTTTTTTATTTTTATGTTATTTAGTCTTATAAAAAAATAATTTTTTTCTTATTAAAAATATTTTTTTCTAAAAATCTAAAAAATATTAACTAAGAATTATCAAATATAATTTTTATGATTAAAATAATTTTATTGCACAAATTTTTTATTTAAATTTTTCTTAAAAATTAACTATTTGAATAGAAAAAAAAATAAGTTAATAAATATATATTTTAGTATTTCTAATAAGATTTTTAAAAATAATTTAATAAATATAATTTTTATTTTATCAATTTAAAAAATATTTTCAAAAAAATCACATGAATTATACATTATAATAATAATATTATTATTATTATTATTATTATTATTAATTTTTTTAATATATTATTACTTTAAAAAATCTACAATATATAATATTTGTATTTATAGATAAACCTAAGAAACTTATATAATATTTTAAATATTAAATTAATATTTTTATAATTGTGTACATTATACTATAATTTTATTACTTCTTCAAGCAATATTATTACAAGTATTTTAATGATGCCGATTTCTTTTATCCTATAAGAGGCTTATTTCATACTTTAACAAAGTTCTACCAATCGTTATAGAATTATAAAAGAAATGAGATATAATTATATAGTTATTTTAATAAAATAATATATCTATAGATATTTTTATATAAATAAATAAATATTTATATATTCTAATTATACTTATATTTTGATAGTTTTAACTTACAAATCAATAATTCTAGAAATAAAATAAAATAAAAATAATAATAAAATAATAAAAAATATATTAAAAAATATCCATTGTACTAAGTTGTACAAGGGAAATTGCAAATATGTATATTTGTTTTTCAAAGAATATTTTTATTTTTATATTTAAATGAAAATTTGTAAAAGCATTAATAATTTTATTTACATAAAATTTAAAATTATATGAAAGCAATATAAATAATTTTTTAAAAGAACATTAATAGGTTACAAACTTTATTTTAGAGCTATTAAAAAATAAATAAATAAATAACAACATTTAGACTTTAGGATATAAAACCATGCTAAGATTGCATCTAGTTTAACAAAATATATAATAATATTTCTTTTTAGGTCACCACACTATCAATTCCCAAACAGGCAGGAAATCAGAATGAAACCAAGAACCAATACTTAACCATTATTATCACATTTCAACCCAAATCTACAAATACAGTCTCACCATACAAAAACAAAAACAAAAAGAAACAAACAAACAAACCCAATCCCTGAGTCTCGATTGACTACATCCCATTATACAAATGAATAAACCTTTGCAACCTGCATTGCTGTCACTGGATTTGTTGCCGTGCAGACAATGAAACACGCATTCCACGCATTGAATCGCCGTTGTCAATTCCAAAGCTTGCCTGATGCATGAAGCATGCTTGTGTAGAAAATAGTAAACTGGACCTTATAAGTGACCTTGTCCAGGTCCTGCAGTTCGAGTATGACCCAGAAACAAATTCGATTGCATGAGCATATGATCAAGTTTGGCATCGACACGAGCTGGAATGATCGGCATCAACGCAGACTTATCCATGCGGATGCGGCACCAGAACTTGTCCAAGTTAGAGCATTCAAAATCTGATTCAATTTCATGACATTAGTTGATAAGAAGAGGCCACTTCATCGGTTCGGTTGATTGCACACTGAGAGAATTTATCGGTTGTTGCCATGTTTACGTCGTTCTTAACTGAGTTAATCAGAAGAAATGTGATGCAGGTGTCTGATTGAATTGTTGACCGTAAATTCAACCGTTGACTTATTTAATAATATTTCTTTTCATGTCATAAGTGTTGTTGGAGTTGACTCCGACACACTCTCCCATTGAAGTTTGCAGAAGTTCTCTTTTCACTACACTTTTGGGAGTGTGATCAAGGATTCGATTTGCTATTCCTCGAGAGAGCCCATGAATTGAGTCTGCTCGAATACGCACATGCGATGAAACAGCGAGTTGTGTGTATCTTATCCACCTGCATCCCACATCAATCGTTGATAAAGCGGAGGAGTTGGATTTCCCCGATCGAGTTTGTGATAGTGAGTGATCGTATTTGTGATTTCGTTTGGGTTGGATGTTCGAAGTTAAATCTATCCTTTTAGAGGAGTAAACGACAACTCACTAGTGCCCAATCGCTGTGTCTTTTCTTGGGACACTAACGTCTTTTCAATAGATATTTTAGACTTGAATTATCAACACATTTTTGTGGAATTCTAGTGTTCTAGAGAATTTTATTTCAAATATTACTTTTGTTATGTGTTCAGGTATTTATAATTTCTCCTATATACAAAGAAATGTTTTTTTAAATATTAGGTGTTTCTTTTATTATGTCTTAAGTGACTTTCTATATTATGCACTACCATCTAAGAAGATCAAATAAAATTAATTTTAGAATTTGTTAGTAGCTTTATACTTTTTCTTGTTATCATATTTTATATTTTATTACATCCACATTATCTATAAGCATGAACCATGAAGTAAAGACAGTTGTTTTTAAAACCGCATAAATGTCTACTGTAAATATAATTTTTTTCCATTAAAATGTATCTACAAACTACAATTTTTTTAGTCTTTCATATCATATTGTTAAATAAATTATCTATTAGTTAAAATAGAATAAGTATATTAATAAATAAAACTTAAAGTCCTACCACAAGAATAACTTTTACATTTTAAAGTATAATGAAAGAAACTTTATATGTATGTAAGAGACTATTTTAGACTATTTTAAATATATGCTATGATTTTTTTTTAAAAAGAGATCATAGTAAATCAATACGTTATTGTAATTAATATTATTTATTTTAATTACTAGAATAAGAACTACAATTTTAAAACCTTATCTTGTTCCATAGTTTAAGGCCAAAAAAAAATAGAATTCCAAAGAAATATTATTTTTTCTTCCTTAATCTACAATCTATCATAAATTAGCTACCACCTATAGGACAGATTTTTTTTAAAAAATCCAGAAGTTTTATAAAGATTATTTAAATTAAGAACTTTGATGTATTTTATATCTTTGAACAAGTTTGAATTATGTATTGTCTTAATATTGGGATTTGGATCCTAATCTTACAATAATAGAAAAAATTTACATATATATATATATATATATATATATATTGTGGAGTGGAAGGAAAATTAAATAAAAAAACATTTTCATTATTAGAATAAGATTTTTAATAAACATAAAAAACTTATACAATATTTTTTAATAAAAAACCATTTTTTTCTTACTTAATTTAAGAGAGCCACAAATAAAACTTATATTTGGGATAATTATCATACACAAAATAAGAAATAATTACATGTTTAGAAAAATATAAAATTTTAGAATACTTGAATTTGTTATTTACATGACCTCTGCATGGGACAGAGCTTATTAAAAAGTTAAAACTATAACTTAATGAAATGAGCAAAAAATTCTTATTAAGAATGATTTTTGTTAATCATATATTCTTAATTATCTTATTTATACCAATGGCTCCTAATTGTCCTTGCATTTCTTATTTATTGATTTTTTTGTGATTTTTTTACTATTTTTCTTTTTCCCTTGAGTTTCTATTATTTCTTCCATACTAAACACCTTGTCTTGTATTTATTCTATGTATAATGTTTTGTTATTACGAATGTTTCTTAGAGATTCTTACAAATGAAGTCACTGGAAAGTGTCAATAGAAAATGCGATTTTCGAAATTGTAACATTCTATTACAAAATAGTAGCATAATTTTATATTTTCTAAAAGAAAGAAAAAGAAATATGTAATTTATTACAAAACCAATGTTGATAGATTGGCATGATAGTCAAAGCAAAGTAGATTGCACCAAAGTGCTGAATTACGGTTTTAAAAGAGGTGGCAGAGTACTCCTTTTATTATTGTGGCTCGCCCCACTGACGGACTGTCAAATTATGCCCCGACTTCTCCAGCATCAATCCCCGATATAATCGAAAAGGCAGACAGGCGTGAAATGTCTTTCATGTTTACCTTGCCCATCGTGCTACTCCGTCTTCGTTCCTCTCTGCAGCTCTTGGTACTAGGCAGGTCACTACTGTGCGGCTCCAAAGAGCAAGGACCGTCGCTCTGGTGGCACGTCAACAAGCCAGTGAATTCCAGTGCTCGAGAAATTAGAGGACGCGCCGTCGTGTTACTTTTGTAGACGGAGCGGTTTGCAGTTTCTGGCCTCGCTGGGGAGGAAAGGCTGTGGCAGCGGAAGGTATTTTGTCGGTAAGGTTCATTGAATCCCTGTGCATAATCCGTCTTTGATTGGCTCTTTCATACAGGGTTTAGTATCGTTTCATGATCGTTTGTCGCTTGCATTTGGTGCCTGTGTCGCTTTGCCGTTGAAGAGATCAGCGATCCTCGGATCCAGATACGTCGACAGAGTCGATAGCGTTGCAGAACAGTTCAATTCCTTCGCGTTGAAGATGATAGACCTTAGTCGGGCCGATAGACCGAGGGAATAATTATATGTTTCCATACTGGTCGGTGGCATATTGCCACAGTGATGCTCTGCTGTGAAAAGCGAAGTCGTTGTGTGTTCGTGAGTGTAGTAGTAGCAGCTGCAGCTTGTATAATTTCGTTCGGCGCTGAAGGCGAACACGGTACTAGCTCGAACCCCAACTTTGCATGTACAAGAAGTGGATCGGTTCTAAGGCCAGAGCTTCGGAATATCAGTGAATACTCTCTACTTTAGAAACTGCCACTTATTGCGGTGTGGTTCATCGTTCTCTGTGGTTTGCAGCGATAGCTTTTTTAGCGATTGTATGCGTGGTGCTATGCTCTTTGAACGGCCTTTACAGCAAAGTTGAGAACAATGGTGCGTGGAGAAGTTTAGAGAGAGTTTTGCAGGGAGGTTTCAGAGGCTGGAGATAATAATACCGTCCTATGAAGATATTTTAGCACGACATGCCTTCTTACCAATATGAATTCGAAATTATTTGGAGTGGTGAATATGTAGTCCCGATGTAACTCAAATGCTTTGAAATCTGTCATTATCGTGCTGTTGTCGGCTTTTTTTTGAAGGTTGTTGACGCTCGTACTGTAACTCGATCGTAATATATGTATTGCAAGCACATACTGGTGAGTCAAGTTATAACTGATCTGTTATAATCTGGTCTCTTTGGTTAACGACAGTTCAATACGGTTTGTGAATATTCGAGATTCAGGGTTCAGTTCAAATCGAAGTAGAAATTGCTAGTATCCAATTTTACGGATTTCAGGGACGTTTTGGATGCCAGATATCAGACTTAAGCGAAAGTTTTTACGAAATCCAAATTGTGGCGGCATAGGAGTAAGTTCGCAGAACTTTCGACATGGACTCTAATCAAGTTCTTCGAAGGTTAGATACTGCACGGAACTGCATACATCTATCGGCGGACGAGCTGCAGATCTGTTGGGGTGACAATATGTATTGGGAGATGGTGCCCAATCATGACACTGAGTAAGTAATGCTTAATTTCTCACAATGTTTGCATGCTCGCCTATCACGAGTATTTTCCTTTTTAAGTTTGTCAATAATAAGAGTGATCTGTATGCTTCTTACATGCTCATCGATACGTCACTCTACGGTTCAATTATCAATTAAAGTTCAGGTTCATCTTTCTTCAGATGTTCAAGGACCTGAATAATGACATTAATCGAAGTGTGTTGTATGTTCTTGGCGAAGCAGGTTTTCGAATAAGATCGCGGTTGAATGCTGTGTGCTCGATTCCTCCAGCGACTTACACCGTCTCCTGGAGAGCATACCTGTCCGCCTATGCATGCGGTTGGGAATTCGATGCTGTCAATTTCACCTTCTCAAAGAAACAAAACGGCACTGAAGACATTTCAAGGTGCAAGTGCTACCTGAAGAGGCCCCGTGCTGGTGTGGTGTTAACACAGCCGGATCCAACAATCCAGGCTGTGGGAAATGGCTGGATGGAATACGAGGTTGGAGAGTTTGCTGTTGAAGCAGGAGAGGGAAATTTTGCTCTGAAGTTCGCCATGGTAGCAACCAGTGACTACCACTGGAAGACTGGCTTGTCCTTGGATGGCATCGTCATACGGCCCAAAAGTTTGGTGGATGTTACAGTTCCTTTGCGACTTGAAAGTAGCAAGTGCAGGAGTCCCTGATGCAGCTGACGGTCCGTAAAGAAATAAAATCATATATATATATATATATATATACACACACACACACACACACACACACAGTGGTGTCTGGTTAATAGAAATCCCTTCGGACAGGGAAAAGCTTTTCTCTTAACCAAGCATTTCTCATAGCCAAACACAGCACTGTTCTCCAAAAAAAAATAGGACAATGCTCTTATCCATTTTTTTCTCTCATGTATGTATGTATGTGTATATATATATATATATATATATTACAAAGAAAATTTAATTTTGGCATATGTTATATTTGCATTCATTTTTGTGTTGATTTATAATTTGTGATAATAATGTTTTTGGTCTTTAAAAATATTGATGCGTAAATTATTGATGTATATATATATATATATATATATATATATTCATTAAATACTTATTAATTATTTAATAATTTTAGTATTAATATTATTTAGATCTAAAAGCACACAAATACAGTCCACATAATAATAGTTTTGTGATCAAATGTTAAATTTATAGATTTATTTTTTATTTCAAAAATATTTTTTTACTTTAATATTTTAAAATAAATTAATGAATAAAAATAGTAATATTATGTTAAAAATTTATAAAACATACTGAAAATGTATTGTGATTCTTATTTAATCTAATAATTTAAAATGTAAATTTTGGTATCTTTATTTATCAAATATATATATATATATATATAAAATAAAGAAGAGATTTGGCAACCTCAATTACAACTTCAAATCTTTATTTTATTGAGAATGTTTTAGAGAAAGACACAAGAGTAGCTAGAAGTAATGTGAACATACACAAAACACATACATACACAAGAGAGTATATAGAAAGAGAGAGAACTTCTAAACAAAACTATGTATTAATATGATTGTCTCACTTATATATAAAGAGAAGGAAGAGACGATAAGCAGTTTCTTTCTACTACATTCTTAACACTATAGCTATAGTATTTACTATAACTACAATAAATATTATAGAAAACATTGGCTACATATAATGCTCTCAACATTCTTCCTTGCTCATTATAATATTTATATAACATAAAATTTGTATAGAATTATGATCTATATTTTTTTGTAATCTCGCATGATCAATAGATGTTGCTTCATTAAAACCTTATGTTAAAAAACCTTATTTTATTCAAGAACAAAAACCATAGATGAAAAAAAAAAGAATACATCATTTTTTTTAATTATTTAAAAAATTCATTAACTTTTTTACTCAAGAAAGCAAGTGGCCTATTGTCGATGCCATAAGTAAGTTAACAATGGTTGTACAAAGGAAGAGCTTTGGTAAAGAGATCAATAAGGTTATTTGTAGATTCAATTTTTTTTATTTTAAGTACTTAATCAATAACCAAATTATGGATATAACTAAAATATTTTGGATCAATATGGTCTGTTTTGTTGCCTTTAATAAAACCAACTTGCATATATATAACACAAGCACTATTGTCTTTATGCAAAATAGTTAGAGAATTATAATATAAAAGTCCACAAATTTTCTAAATGTATTTATCAATTGATTGCAACTAAATACATTTTCAAGATGCTTCATGTAAGGCAATAATTTCTATATGGTTGGATGAAGTTGCAGCTATAGTTTGTTAAAGTGATTTCCATGATATTGCAACTTCATGTCTTAAAGATACATAATTTATTTGAGATTTAGTTGTTGCAATATCAGATTTATATCTTGCATCACAATATCTAACCAATTTTAGATCTGTAGATCATGTATAATATATTCCCAAGTCTTTAGTGTCTTCTAAATAATTTAATAAATATTTAATGTCATTCCAATGTCGTAGTGTTGGATATGCACTGTGTCTTGTAAAAACATTAACCGCAAATGTAATATTTGGTCTTATAGATGTAGCTAAATATAAAAGTATTCTAACTGCTCTGAGGTATGGATACTAATCTCTCAATATTTCTTCGTCCTCCTTGCACAAATGGTATAGATCATCACCATCATGACTACATCCAACCATTGCTATTGACAATAGATAAACATCAATCATATTGAATGTCTACAAAATTTATTTGATATACATTAGTTGGTAGAAAAAAATACTACTATCTATAAGATGTTTAATTTAAAGACCAATGTAGAAAATTATTTTTCTTAACATTTTCATCTCAAACTTAGAGAAAAGTATGTTAATAGCTGCAACACATGTAGATTTAGTATCTACTAGGTTAAAAACATCTACATATATAGCGATAATCATAAAGCTAATTTTATCTTGTTTAATAAATAAAGATCAAATTAATCGATTACATATAAACTTATTTTTAATTAAATAATCTCAAAGACATTGATACCACATGCATCCATATTATTTTAGACTATACAAGGCCTTGTGTAATTTAATACCACAATATTGTCTTGGAGTAGGTGCATTTAGAATTTCTATTTTTAAACTAGATAGAAATTTTATATAAATATCTGTAAAAAGAAAACTATATAAATATGTAATTACCACATCCATGAGATGCATTTCAAGAGAAGCATAAACTACTATTCTAATAATATATTAGAATGTAATTAAATCCATGATTGAAAAATATGTGGATTCATAATCAATGCTAAACTGTTAGGTAAATATTTGAGTAATAAGACGAGCTTTATAGTTGTTTATTTGACCTTTAGCATCTTACTTGCATACTAATACCATCTTATATCCCATAGGGTAATATGTAAAGGTGTCTACAATTTGATCAAAGATTTTTTTTTTTTTTTTTTTTATACAAAGATATATATTCTTTTTCAATGATATTTTTTTGTTTTAACAAATCAAAGAAATACATTGCTTCATTGATGGTTTGAGGTTCATGATCTTCTTCCTTATAAAAAAGAGCTTGTGCAATCATGTATGCAAATGATTTATTTATTGTACTAGATGGTCTATCTTAAATATTGTTTTTAGTATAATATAGAATAGATAATTTTATATTCAACTTAGTATTATTCCTTCTAATATTAAGATTTTCTATTACATGACGTGATGATATAATTTACATGGATATATCATCATTAATTGATGGTCTTGTAGGTTTTGTATGAATTTCTATAAAAAAAAATATCAAAATCAGTGCATGTTATAGCCTTCTTTTTATGTGGTTGCTTATTTGGTCCACGAGTCTTTTTAGTTTTTGATATTATAACCTAAGGTATATTACTTAGTAATATTGTAATTTGAGAAGGTACATTCTAAGCGTCATTAATAGGAACTCTTATAATCCAAGACACATCATTGAAACTATCAGGTTTTTCATCTGCGATCCATTTAAGATATAAAATCTTGACAACTTCAGTTTCAGCCAAACATGTTTTAAAATCAAGATTCATTGTAAATATTTTTAATACTCTAAATAAATGTAATATATTTTTTTATTGATTAAATATTATTTTTCAAATAAATAAAAATATATTCTAATCAAAATAGTAATTTTAAAAATGTGCATGTAATAATGTACCAATTGATGGATCAACAATACAAATAATGCTTAGTGAATCAAAACCAATATATATGTCTTTTTCTTGATGAATTTTAATGGTATGTTATTGAGGTTCTAATATTGGAATCCAAGTATAACAACCATATATTTTTAGGTCAGATACATTAGGAAGACAACTTGAAATGAATTCTTGTAATGTAATAATTTCAAGAAAAGAAAGATGGAGGCATATTAATGCTGTAGCATGCAAAATTATATGTTTCCATATAAATACAAGTAAATTTGCTTGAAGGAGTGGTTGGATAACGACTTGTATATACCTTATAAATGACTCTGCAAGTCTATTTTGAGCATGTTCATATAGAATACAATATGTCAACTCAATCCATATTATAATACAATAGTCTTCAAAAGATTTTGATGCAAATTCTTTTGCATTGTCCATACACTATGTTTTAATAGGATAATTAAAAAATATGCCCAAAAATGAATAAGCATAGATATTAGATTAAGAAATGCTAAGTTTTGAATTGGTAATAATGAAACATGTGATTGTTTGCATGATGCATCAACAACGACCAAAAATAATAAAATGGTCTACCTATTGGATTAATAGGATCACAAATATCACCATGCAATTTTTCAAGCATTGGTGGTAATTCTTGTGGAAGCTTCCAAATTTAAGGCCAAGCAATCATCTTGCTTTATATACATGCACAACATAATTCTATAGAATTTGCAATTGCAAGTTTTAAATTATGTCCAATTATACATAAAATTATCTCTTAAAATAATGTAGATCTTAGATGTTCCAATCATCCATGTTAAAGAAAATGCAACTCTTTGTAATAGATGATTCAAAATTAAATATAATAGAAGGCCAAATTGCAATCCAATGTTGTATTACGTAAAGTCTTGTTTGAAAATGTATCAAGAACCTGGCTATAGAAAGTATAAGAGAAATTGCAACAACAAGATTTTAACATCTCTAATAAAATCCTAAATAAACTCCAATTAAATCTTAATAATGTTAATCAAGCTTTAATAAAATTCAAAAGAAATATTAAAGAAATAACAAAAGAAGCATGAAAATATCTTTAAATAAATATTAAATAAATCTTAAATAAATATTAAATAAATATTAAATAAATATTAAATAAATCTTAAATAAATATTAAATAAATCTTAAATAAATATTAAATAAATCTTAAATAAATATTAAATAAATCTTAAATAAATATTAAATAAATATTAAATAAATATTAAATAAATCCTAATCAAATCCTAATGGATCTTAATTGAATCTTAAATTAAATCCTAACTAAAACTTAAATTTTAAATCTTGAATCAAATATTAGAAAAATCCTAAATCCTAAATAAATCCTAAATAAATCCTAAATCTTAAATCAAATTCTAAACAAATCCTAAAATTCTAAATCAACTCAAATCAATTAAAAGACAAATTAGAACTTCAATATCTATTGATTAAATTATTCATCTTTCTAAAAACATTTCTAATTTTTAACTTCTTAGTTAAAAATAAGTATAAAAAATTTGAAGATAATTGAACTTACCAAATAGAAGAAAAATCCTAAAATTTTCTCAAGAGTTAACCAGCCTCTTATTTCAATCTAAATGTTAAACTTCTAGTATC